CGCCAAATTCGGGGAGGGGGCGGGCTCGCGACCCACTTCCATGTATATTTTTGCGTATATTTTTGCTTATATTTTCGCAATGCACTTTTATAAATTGTGTCAAGTTTCCCTGACAGGTTTGCTGGTGTCTTGCAGTTATTTTGACACACATTTTTTTGAAAATAGAGCAAACCTTACCTTCATCGCAAAATGTCTATTTTCCAAAACAGGTGTCTAAATGTAACTTTCCCCTCTTGATAATAATCTGTGTACATACCGTCCAATCAATTACCGTTTGAAAATTGTCAAAAAACAAAAAAAAAAAAAAAAACCTTTACCGTTTACCCTATTATAATTTTGGTGTGGAAACAGAAAAAGCAAATCGATTACCAGTTACCGTTCATGCGTCTAAAAAAACGGAAACAGAAAAACAAACTTGTTTTACATTTTACCGCTTTTTGAATCTGTTAAAAAAATTAAAAAGCAAACCCTTTACCCATTTCTGTCTTTTTAATTGAGAATTGAAATAAAAAAAAAGGAAAAAGCAAACCTTTTACCAGTTACCGTTTTTGAATTAAAAAAACCCAGCAAACCCACCCTTTACCAGTTACCGTTTTAGAATCTTAACCGTACACCCTTTTTTGAATTTTAACCCTTCGCGTGCTAATTTTTGGCGCTGTGATATTAGACGGCTGCATGGAATCAATCCATGACACAATGTAATTTGAGCTACCCGGCCCTCAAAGTCCACCATTCACCCAGATATTAACCCCTGGTATCACTCAGGCCCTATAAACAGTCAATAAAACCAGACACTAACCTCCTCAATGCCATTTGACAGTTCCATTTTTGCCACAGGGGTGATCGAGATAATCCCTATGTGAACAATGCATTTGTACACAAGCCTATGTAAATGCGCACAAGCACATTAGGTTTGCCCGCCAATTTCCAACTCCTCCAGTAGGATCACAAGACTTACACCCCCTCTAGTGGATGTACCATGGTCCATACTAGGATCTAGCGATAGATGACCTGGGCATGGCTAACACGTGGCTGGGACAATAAAAAACAAAGAAAAAGCAAAGCCTTTACAGGACACCGTTTTGGGGTCTGTCTTTCGAAAAAGGGACAACGCATCGCATTCCATTTTTGATGCGTATTCCTAAAAACAAAATAAAAAAAATCCTTGTCCTCTGTATACAGATAAAAAATAATCACAGCACACTCGTATTTGTTTCATTTTATTCTACTGAAACACAAACAACTAAAAACTATACGACAATTTGTTTTTTGGGGGTTTTTTTTCCCGCTCAAACACGTAGTAGTAGAAGTAGTAGTACATTTATTTCAATGCTGTCCTTGGATGAAGGCTACAGTGTTTACAACAAGTTAATACAATATTACAGGTTAAGTTTAATATCAAATTATTACACAAAGAACAACATTTAAGTTTTGGTGAAGCAAAAATGCTTTTTTACCCTAACCTAGGGACAGACAATGGGACAGATAGGACAAAGGACTACAACAGCAAATGAGTGTGCATGCAGGTACTAAGACATAACAATACGAGATAATTTACACATTACATTTATAAATAAGCATCAAGAAGTTGTTTTCTTAGTTTTTGACAAATATAGCCTGTGATGGTGATTTTTTCATAGATTCACTAAGACTGTTCCAGTAGTTTGCGACACGTTGAACAAGGTCGTTCGACTGTAACAAACATGGATATTTTTTCTACAAGCACTTCGAGTATTGTGTGAATGTATGTTTGATGATAACGAAAAATATGAGCTACAAAACCAGGTAATGCATTATTTGCCAACACAGTAAAGAAAAAAAGGGTAACAGGAAAAAGAAAAACGAAACCTATCACTAGTTTCAGCCCAACGAAACCCGAGTGCGGCCAAGTTCGTCAGAAAGTGTCTCGCTGCTGTTTCCGGGGGATAAACAAATTGTTCTCAAGGCGTGGCGGGAGACCCAGGATCGATAAAGTACATTTACAAGTGTGCATAAGAGTGCCGACAAATAGATCGAATTCCAATTTCGCTTCACTTTTAGGCCAAAAAAAAAAAAAAAATAGTCGGTCTCTGGTCAGACCGAAGTTCCGGAATTGATGCGGCGACGCGGTTTAGGCCAAAAAAAAAATAAGTCGGTCTCTGGTCAGCGCGCGCGTCGATTTTAATCATGCGCGTCATTTTTTTTTTCCAAAATGTTTCGCGGTAGCTCCAACAGCGCCCTCTATTGCCGCACCTGCTCAATTTTTTTTTTACCAAAGAACAACAAAGAATAGGAAATTGCACCAAGGCAAATGATCGAGAGCACAAGGCAAATTATGGAGGACACCAGTGTACACGAGGACACCAAAAAAGCAAAATAGTACCCCACCTTGTCTGTACAATCCAAGCTTGAAGAAAAAAAAAATCAAAAAAAAAAAAAAGTCCCCGCGTCAATTCCGGAACTATGGTCTTCCCAGAGACAGAATATTTTTTTTTGGCCTTATTTTTTATTTTTTTGGTGGTTTTTTTCCTTCAAATTTTGAATTGAACACTCAAGGTAGGTACTATTTTGTTTTTATGTGTCCTCATTACACATTGGGGTCCTCCATAATTTGCCTTGGTGCCCTTTATCATTTGCCTTGGTGCAATTTCCTCATTCTTTGGTGCTCCTCGGTACAAATATTTGAGGAGGTGCGGCAATAGAGGTCGTTGTTGTAGCTTCTGGGTTAACTTGAAGGGGAAAAAAGGTTGACGCGCATGATTAACATCGACGCGCGCGCTGACTAGAGACCGAGTATTTGTTTTTTGGCCTTAAGATACTATTTCATTTTCTACAACTGCCAAGACATCAATAAAAACTGGTTTTATTTTCTCCTCCTTAATTTTGTAGTACATGTGAAGTTTCAATTCGATGTGTTAGTCGGCACTCTCTTAGGCCTACCTGTTTTTGAAAATGGACAGTTTGCAACGAAGCTTAGTGTGCCCTGTTTTCATAAAATTGGTGTCAGAATAAATGCAAGACATCAGCAAACATTTCAGGGAAACTCGGCACGATTTAAAAAGTGCATTGTGACGATATCAGCGAAAATGTACATGAATGGTGGTGGTGGCCCCGCCCCCTCCGCCCTTTTTGTGCCACTTTTAAGTTAATTACTCTGATCTAAAATCACGCTTCAAATATATTTCCATTATCTACGAGCGCCAAGCTATTGATTAATTAAAATGTAAAATTGGCCCAATTTGCCTTGGCGAAACTGGCCATTCTGTCATTAGTGTCGATGATACTATTGTGGCGAAACGAGCTATACACCCTTTGTGGCGGGAATAACTACACCCGACAGTCTGACCCGATCGAAGAATGGAATTAGACCTTAAAACAAGCACTAGTAAACCTCGCTCTTAGAATAAGCACTATAGTGCTATAGTAAACCTCCCTCTTAGAATAAGCACTAGTAAACCTCACTGTGATAATCTAGTAAACCTCGCTGTGATAATAAGCACTAGTAAACCTCGCTGTGATAATGAACACTAGTAAACCTCGCTATTAGAATAAGCAGTAGTAAACCTCGCTGTGATAATGAACACTAGTAAACCTCGCTGTTAGCTGAAGGGTCAACTGGACCCCTTGTCATTAACTTATACAATTATAATCTTCGTACGGCTCTTGGGTCAACTGCACCCTTTATTAGCTTATAAAATTATAATCGTCTGGTTCAACAGGGGTCAACTGCACTCCCTTATGATTAACTTGCACAATTATAACTCACAGCTTAGCGGGGTAATTCACTTAAGGTAAACCTCACTTGGGTATACCTCACCTAGACTTGGGGTTTCTAGTTTATCAGAAAGTGGTCGACTGCACCACTGACTTAAATAACGGGCTAGTGTTCTTTCACTTAGCACAAATGACCCCAATGAGGTCTACAATAACAGAATAGATTTATACAATAGAAAACAATCCTTGCTACTGGCTTGACCAGCGAATTACACACACGGGGTACTTAGTAACGTTTCTATGACCCACCGGACGATAATAATAGCCCTCTGAACGTTAACCCAGTAAACCTTCGGGAAACTCAGGATTCACGGACTTTACAGGGCCGCAATCAAGTCACGATTCCCTCCACAAGTCACGATTAAGCAGGTTCCCCGGCAGGAAAAGCGAGCTCAGTTGTCCAAGTCCGCATCAACCGCAGCCATGCCAATTGGCATAGATCAACGGCAGACAGACCTTCCGAACAGTCTTAGCTACACTACTTCCTCAATGGGAAAACAAGCCTACGGACTCACAGGGCAGCTATACCGCAGCTACGCGTAATGGCACAAACAACGGAAGACAATCCTTAAGTCTGAAGTAAGCCTAACTGTTCCCCAACCTTCAGATTAACTCCGGGTCCGACTATAACTCAGGCCCTATTATCTGAAATATCCCGACTTCTTAACAACAATCCACCCCAAATCATATCCGATAAGACCTTAAACTGCACAGGGGGATGTAAACAACGAAGTCCAGCTTTACTGACCGATCACACCAGGCGCGATGGGGCTTTCTCCCGCTCCGGTCCAACCACGGTAACCCAGTAAACGCTGTCAGCTCACGAGATTGCACGACACAACGCGGTCACTCCCGTTTACTCGTTGAAGTCTCTCACAGCAGTGCCGATCCCACGCCAGGCCACGAGGCAATCGCCCCAGACCAAGCCGGATGCACGCTGCTGATTGGTCGCTGCGCGATATCACGCCCTTGTTCACGCGGTACATGCCTTAATAATTAATAGCCAGACATGCCCATCAGCCTAGTGTACATGCAGGACGCGCATGCCAATTGGTTGCCCCACAGTATCACGCGCTCTAACGCGCGGACTGACGTGATGCTTCTGAGGCTAGACTTGATATCAGTCTACACATACCCCTGTTTCGTTACACTATGCTATAGACAATAAGGGGATTTTTAAAAACCCTACCCAACTCTCAGTTTTTATCATTGCCACTCGACCCGAACATTTCCGTATCATTCACCAGGTGACGGTGCAACCCGCTGCCGGCGTTACTTTCGGCACGGTCAACCCACAGCCTCGAAGTGGTAACTGGAAGGGTATTCTATGGACAGGAATAATTCAAGTGGTTTTGGGTTCCTTGACCGTCATTCTGGGCATTGTCACCCTTTCAGCATTTAACCGTGTGAACGATAGCAGTGATATTGCATCCCCACTTTGGTGTGGTATCGTAGTAAGTATGAAACAATACTCCCGAATTCCATGCCATTCTTGTGTATTGACCAGGGGCGGATCCAGGAATTTTCGCGGGGGGGGGGGTTCAACAGCCAAAAAAAATCGGAAAATGTACACAGGTTTTTTTCTCCGGACATGTGGCCTCCATAAAAACGGGGGGGGGGGGGGAAGTGGTACCATATTTCAATAGGGGGCGCTGTTCAAATTCCACGATTATCAACACTAGATTACAGAATGGGTAAGGTAATTTGAACAGGCGGATACTATACCAGTATAATTTTTTTGGGGGGGGTGTCACAGCCGGGGGGGGAATTATTTTTTGGGAATTTGTATGCGAATTTTTTTTTTAGACGGAGCTGGGGGGTGACCCCCAATTCCCCCCCCCCCCGCCCTCTAGATCCGCGCCTGTCGACAGTACCGATTTGTTTGTTTCTTTGTTTCTTGTGTAAGTTCTGATGCCTATTGACTCTTTTAGCTAGGTGCAGTCGTTTTAAAAGGAAAGAGTTGTGTGGAGAGAGGAAAATGAATTGGGCGGAATATTTCCACCTCACAAAATTTATTTCTCACTTTTCACATAGCTTACGAGGTTTACGGTGTTTTTTTGTTTTGTTTTACGTGTACAATGATACGTTATGTTTTTGACACTTCCATTTTGTGTCCACATATCTTGTTTAAGTTTTTCAATATCTTGCCAATGATGGTTGGGTTCGTAGCCTTCCATGTAGCATGTAGCCTTCCTTAAATTTCAGCCTTGAATGTTTTTACAGTTCTATGGCTTCGCTGGAATCTGTGCTATAGTGTCTGGATCTACGAAGAATTCTGGCTGGGTAAGCCATTGTTAAGGGTTTCTTTAATACTCGGCAGTATCATGGTGCTCAGTTGTTGCTTCCTTGAAATGGAAAATGTTCAAAATGGGAAGAGTAACCAATAAGTAGAATCCTACTATGTTATTTGCAGATAATTATGGCCTAAATATTAACATAGAACCATTTAGCGGATATTGGACCACTTCCAGCGATGTAGCCTACATCAAGATTTTTTTTAAGAGTTTGAATAAATTGTGTGTTTTTCTGCACAGGCTGTCGGCTACATGGTCATGTCCATCTTGGCTTGTTTGGCGACGTGCTGCGTCATTGGTTTTGGTGCTGCCAGGATGTCATTCATCAATGAACACTGCTATCCGCGTTTAATTACGCGTTATCTTTATAATTATTATGGCCGCGTCGTGGCCGTCTTCGTGGCCGTCTATGACGATCCTCGTTCATACTGTGATTTGAAGGTAAGTAGAACTTTAACCTCCTTATAATGAAAAACGTATAATGAAAACTTTTAATGAAAACGTATTATTCCTTTTGCCTCGGGGGGTTCCTATCTTCTTTTTTACACCTGTATAGGCCTATTTGTAAGAACTTACTATTCTTCTAATTTTTATTCTTCATGACAAACTCTTCCTCAGAACTGTTTGTCAAAATGAAAACATATATGAATTCAATTCAATTCAACTGTAAATTCATTTCCAAGCTTCATGAGAAAAATATATACAAACTTTAGAGAAAAGCGTTAAACCATAAAGCAGTAAATATCAAATTAACAGCAAAATAAAAATAGGTTAATAGAGCATCGGGCTGTTTTAATAAGCAGAAGCTTGTGGAAAACAGCCGACAGAAAAAACACAGGACAAACAAACAATCAAACACCCCAACAAACAAACAAAGATATTACAATGGGTAAGCTGGCACGAGACAAGGAACATATAATAATAAAATGAAAAGATGGCAAAAGGCTGTATGAGCAAAAAAGACAAAAAAAAAAAAAAATAACAAGTGAGGAATACAGAAACGCAGTAGACTTAATCAGGAGAGAAGGCAACGATGCATAATGGCAGATAAGAGCTTGCTTGTATGAAGACTTGAAAAGACCGCTGACATCTGATACGCTCATCTATGTCATTCCATACGCAAGGACCAAAGAAACGAATGGTGTTCACAGAATAAGAGGTGCGAGTGAATGGAACATATAGATTGGTGCAGGATCTCGTGGAGAGGCTATGTATGGCTCGAACGGAAGTGAAGAAGGAAGAGAAGACTAGGGGAAGAAGGTTGTTAGTGAACTTATACATGAATATCCCGGTATGGAGTTTGAATGTAATGAATAATGTACTTATAATTAGGAGTGGTAATTCGCAAAAATGATGAGTATTTTTTGAGCTCTGACTGAAACGTGTTCACTGTTCACCCAACCATAACACAACCATGATGCATTATCATGTATTGTTTTTTTTCTTCAAAACATTAATGCACAACCCACTGAGGATGTACTTTGTTGATATTACGTCATTATGACGTCATTATGGGTCAGGTGACGACACTTGAAAGATTAATAAAGTTAATCTTTAAAATAAATAAGAAATCACCGGTGAGATTGATACGACAATACTTGATCTTTATCGCGTCAAATCACGTGGCCCTTCTTTCCGGTTGAAGCCGGAAGTGCTCAATAATTCGAAATTGGAAAAAGATATGAACCTGTTTTTAACGAGTTAGTCTCTGCCTATGTTGAACTTTACCAAACAATATCGGTGACGACAGGTTAAAACTGTCAAAAACGCATTTTCAGTCGATGTGTGTAGCGACATTTGCGGTAATCGCTTCAAAATTGATATTTTTATTTTTATACAACACCGGATCAGAAGTTATAATAAAAAAACCTTTTATAAACCTTACGAAATTGCTGAAAAATCAACCGCGACAGATATAATCAAGATTTGGCTATATATAGCACAGGTAACATAGCTCTTGAGATTTCTGGTAATGACGTCACGATGACGTCATCATTAGTATCATTTTACACGCAAGCAGAGATTTCTAGATTTAATCTCTGAAAATCAATATAACAATCAACTGTTAGAGATTTAATTTTGTTTTATGACAATCGATACAATTTTGTGGGGTCGTCATTTTTTTGTATTAAGTGCAAAATCGGCTAACCCTTCCGGTCGAAACCGGAAGTGCCTGATAATTTAAAATTGATGTGAACTTGTTTTCAACGATGTGAGTCTCTGCTTAAGCTGTACTTTACAAAAACTTACAGGTGACGTCATCAAATGTTAGAGCACCCTCTAGCGGCATGTTGAAAAAGTCGAATTTTGTTTTTTGAGTTGATGTGTTCGGCGAAGTTTGTGGTGATTGCTACAAACATGATAGCCCAACACTGTGTGGTTGTTCCTATAACCTCTAGTTTCTCATTGAATTTGCCGTCGTTGCTTCACTCTTGAAGCACTATATTAATGAGAATCACGTCTCCTCCGCTTTTCTTGACATAAAGTATTTCTAAACTGCGATTTGTGCTTCAAAATGTATGATGAAGTTATAAGATTTTCAAAAATGCCTAGGCGTTCACAAGACGGATCGTTACGTACCGCAAACATATTTAGGTTTAATATCTGTTGAATTGTGGGATACCCTAAAAGTGTGAAGGTAACTGATACATTATATCTCTTGCAATGATTATATGCAGGCAGCCATCGATGATGTTTCTGCTACACTGATACTTCTCGCCATGGTGGAGTTTATTGTCGCCATCATTGGTGCCAGCATGACCTGTGGTCCCCTCTGCAGTGGTGGATCAGCAACTCAGACTGTGGTAGGTACTGCATTGTGACAACACCAAGTTGTATCCTCTGTATCTGCATTGCTTGTTGTTTTTATCAAGATCAAGTAAATAACAATTCAGTTGACAAGTCCAGTTTTATGGTTGTATACAACAGCTCATTGTGACTTAACTTTGGTCATGATGCCTTGTGATTAAGTTATTGAGGACTTTTGAGAACTTGTGACTGTTGTATAAAAGGAGTATTTCATGCTTTTGAGGTAAATTCCAGTTTAAATTTAGCAGTCAAATCTAACCTAGGCATGTATACACGTATTGCAGTTATTACCACGTAAGGTCATATAGGCATACCTTTTCATCCTTTGATTTGCTTTCCTTCGAAAGCACTTCCATTTTATTCTGGCAAAAAAAACTAGTTATTCGCCGTTTCATGCCATGGAATACCACTGAAGCTAGTAGACGAAATGTATAAAGGTATTATAGAGTTTTCGTGTATTCACAATAAATTAATGTTACAACGGAAAAACATAATATTCGGATAATAAAGCAAATGCCCTATGGATCTACAGTCCTGGCCAAATCTCGCTGAGCCCCCAAGCCCCCGGCCCCCGTTCAATGTTGTCTCTCATTGCGCGGTGTGTGCTCCATAAGCTGTAGAGAGCAACATTGACCGGGGGAGCGGGGGAGTGGGTGACCGTGGCAGGCTCAGGAAGTGTCCCAACCATTTTGGCCGGGATTGTAGATTTGCTCAGAAATCAAGAATAATTAGCCACTTAAATCATAAAAAAACAGATCAATCATAAACAGAGAGTTCGATGGGAAAAGAATGTTTAGATATGGGATCAGCGACAATTACGCGTACGTTTGCAAAGTATCGCCATGATAGGCAATGCATTCAATTAGACGACGATGTAGTTGAAGAAACATTCCAATGAAATACAACTTTTCTTGATAATGACAGATCCACTACCAAGCTCGACCACACATGGTGGTTGCCACACAGCCCCAGGGACCGGCCTTCTACAACGTTCCCTCTGGCCAGCCACAAATTGGTAAGAGATGTCTTTTTCAACATTTTAAGTTATAGTAATAATGATCAGATATCAAACTGCAAAGCTTGTGGTCTCTCCCATGTAGCCCTTTTTTTAAATTCTTCACAACATCTTTAAGCTGTCTTTTCCTCTGTATATGTGTTCATAGAAAGTATAACACCCTACTCTGGTCGTCTCATCCTTAAAACTTCATTTCCTAATTTCCCCCTTCTCCTGTTTTGATACAGCCTACCCAGCTCAGCAGGGGCAGTATCCGCAGGCTCAAGCGCCCCCACCTGGTGAGCAATAGTACCAAGAACTCATTAAATAGGTCATCGATGACCTTTGACCTGAAGGAATCATGATATCTAGTACTTGAAACAAAATGTTAAGTCTTGACTTTTGCTTGTTAACTGTATATGTGGATGTACATTTAGCTTTAATAGCACTCACGCGTCGAGAATCAGGTTAAGAGGCTAAACAATATGCTGCCCTGGTTCCCTTTCGTACTAACTTTCCGATAAAAGAGAAATATGGGAGATGTTTAATTGATGTAAAGTATATTAAATGAAAAAAAGTGTACTAAAATATTTACTCAAAAGCTGCTGTTACATAACGGATAATGTATATATTAACTGCACTGTCTCATCCTTAACACTTCATTCTCCTGTTTTGATGCAGCTTACCCAGCCCAGCAGGTGCAGTATCCGCAGGCTCAAGCGCCCCCAACCGGTGAGCATCAGTACCAAGAACTCATTAAATAGGTCATCGAAGACCTTTGACCTGATGGAATCATCTAGGGCTTGAAACGGCATTTAAGTTTTGGCTTGTTCATGTAAACTGTATGGATGCACCTCTAGCTTTTAGCAGTCACGCGTCAAGAAATAGGTTCGGAGGTAATGCGATATGTTGCTCTGGCTCCATTTTAGAATAATTTTTCTCAAATGAAAGTTAGAATGTTGGAGATGCTTAACTTGTATCAAGCAGTCAATGAAAAAAAGTATAATATACTCAGATATTTACTCAAAAGCTGTTGTAACATTATGCATAATGTATATATTAAATAAACTAATAATGTGCCATTCCCGACATCACAGCCTCGGCTGTAGACATTCGGTGCATGTTTTGCGTTTCTGACTTAAACACTAGTTAGTTTTGTTTGATTGGATTGCCGCATATTCAAAGACGTCCATCACTGAACGCCAAAGGCAGTGTCTTTCTGTTTGTTTTGAGCATTCGAAATTGCTCCGGAGCCAGATTTAGCCTTAACCAACAACAGGTTCACCGCTTTACAAATAAAGGTGTGACCAATATAAGCATATATAACCGACATACAAATCCTTGTCATTTGATTGGTGGAACTCACATCACGTGACATTCGTTATTGCTTCCATTCACGCCGGGGCTCAAAAAGTACTATCCGCCAATGGGTAATGGGAAATACTATTTCCAGTTCAATCGGCTTCGCCTCGTGAAATGGAAAAGTCCGGATTTTACCTTGCGATAATATTCCTCCCATTCCACGCTGAGCATAACAGGGAGCCGTATACTTTAGAATATTGAGTTAATGTTAAATTGTTTGAGGTTCTAGATATGGAATTTATTGCCTTAGTTTTTAAATGGGAAGGGGTTTCGGTTTTATGTTTCACCTGGGGAATCTGTATGATAATGAAATATAAAAACAGCTCTCTGTACAACGCATAACGAGCTGCTTCCTCGAATTAGATCCATTCGTTGATCAGATCCATTCGTTGATTAAGCTTGTATTGATGGCAGTGATGTAGTGCCTTGATGCTGGGCCTTGGCCTTAAGGCTGCCTTAAGGGTGGATTTTAGGGCCTTGGCCTTGGCCTCGAGGCTTGAGGGCAAAAGCCTTGGCCTTGGCCTTGGCCTTGAGGGTTCAGGGCCTTGCAATTTTGAGTCAAGGCTCTTCAAGGCCCATACATTTTTGCATTTTCCAGATAAATCTGTTCGAAATTTTGCTGTTACCAATTTAATCGTATTACCATGGAGGAGGGAAGCACCCTATAGATTTGTGTGTTGGGCACACTTCCACTTTTTTAGCATCACATTTTGTTACCATTGTAGTAAATTTGCTGCAAAAATATTCCGTACACTTGTGGGGCTAATGAGATGATCACTTTAATTGCATATAACTATGGAATAGATCTGATTGGTTGTATATGTCTCCCTGATAAGTGCTAAAGATTTGCATGTATCTGTTTTAGATAATGCTGATATTTCTGACCATGTTGGGCCAGCAAATAAAAATTTCCCAAATCAGTTTCTTGGATCCCCTTTTGTTACACTTGGGGAGAATTGTGTGTCAATATAGAAGTAAATCATTATTTTGTTTAGTTAAACCATATTGAAGACCTGAACTTATACTTTAATAGATACAGTGCAGTCATAAAACGGTGTAGGCCTATGCGAGCATGTTGATTGCAATTAAAGAAATGTTGTTCTTCGTAACGAGCAATTCGTGATGATAAGGGCGGATCCAGGGGGGCCAAAAGGGGCCATGCCCCCCCCCCAAAAAAAAAAAACGAAGCCATTTTTTTTTATGTGACGTCGTGATAAAGGCAGGCAATGAGTACACCACCATCTTTTCCTCAAAAACATCGGTTAAAATGGTCAGAAATTGCCTCAAATCGCACCACAGAGCATCTCGAATCCAAAAATGTTTCGGGGCCCTTAACTTAAGCGAGACCCGAAGCCCAAACCGTAATTTTTTGACCCACTTTTTTTTGGGGGGTGGGGAGACCAAAATTTCTTTGCCCCCCCCCCAAATTGTGTTCTGGATCCGCCCTTGCGAGATGATGTGTCACTCATGTGACTGTAATTAGTTCCATATCAGTGGTCATTTCATAAAACAGGGCCTTGGCCTTGGCCTTGGCCTTGAGGGTTAAGCCTTGGCCTTGGCCTCGAGGCTTGAGTGTCAAAGCCTTGGCCTTGGCCTTGGCCTTGAGGGTCAAAGCCTTGGCCTTGGCCTTGGCCTTGAGGGTCCAAGCCTTTGCTCCAACACTGATTGATGGGATAGCCCACATAAGCTTTCTTGTATTCACAGCAAAAGAAAATAAATAAAAACAATTCAAGATTGCTGACTTAATATAGCTGCTGTGACTTTTTAAACCCCTTCTGTTGACTTCAACAGCACTTGGCGTAAGTTGCACACTTATTTGTTTTCTTCTTAAAAGAGATGTCTAAGCTTTGTAATTCACACATATTATATTAGTCAGTACTACACAGATTTGTCATTTATATGTACACAGTACTCGCTTTGGTTTTGCTAATGCATCAATGAGCAAATGATATGTTCCGAAGAGATGCTGATGTTTGAACGTTTTGTTTTAAAGCGTTAATATGAGTAATTATTGTTGGATAACATGTCTGTCAATTTTGTTTGCATCAGAACTTCCTGTAGGGGGGGGGGGGGCCTTCAGTTGTGTTTGTGTTTGGTCATGCTGCTAAAAACTCCGTTCCATTGATTTCATATCTAGGATGCTTTCCATACAACAATGACCAGAATTTTAAAATGTTATCCTACACTGTTTGCAACAGAACTGCCGTAAGGGCTGAACATTTAGTTATATTTTATGCTGCTAAAACGTATTCCCATTTCGGGATGCTTTCTATACAACAATGACCTTAAGTGTTAAGAAACCACATTTGGAAAAGGGATTAAAACTATAAATAGTCAGGATATCACGTTCATTTGTCTTTAAACTTAATGGATTTTTTTTAATAGTAAAGTTCGTAGTGCAGACCTTATTATGAAACATTTAAAATAAAGAGAATGCTTGAATTCCCATTTGGTTTTTTTTGTTTTGTTTTTTTGTGGGGGATGCGTGCACTGGGAATTTGTTAGGGCACGTTCCCCCGCTCCAAGCACACACCCGGCTACTCGGTCATGAATAAAAACTGGTGAAGGAAACGAAGGCGTTGAAAAGTATTGTGGTTAAGTCACTTGAAATAGGCCTACACAACTACGTGCATTATGGTTGACGATTGGTGCGCTCACGGAGGTATAGTACGCGTACTCACGTTGGGTCACGGGTTTTGCAATAATGTATACAATGAGATCTCGTACACAGTTGAGGGAAAAGGCCTTCAGTACCACTGTGAAGTCGAGGCACTTTTAATGCCACTAAGCGATTGCTTTATTTAGAATATGACGTAGTGGTGCGCAATAAATTTGTTTGACAAACCACATATCATATGCGCTTGATGAAACTCTATGACGTCACCAAATTGGTCTATGGGGAAGGGCACCCCTAGCGTTGGGTAGGTAAACGTGTGAGGGGCTACGGAGAATCAACACGAGAAATAGATAATATTGTGTGTACAATGCAAGAGTCATTTTCATTGATGATTTTCAAGAGATGACAAAGTGAAGAGACGAATAAAAGAATAAATGAATGACCGAATACATGAATAAAGTACAGACAAAAGTTGACGTGTCAGTGAAATAGTAACACTTAATAACGTGTTTGATTTGATTTATTTGCAATGTTTGCAAACAAAAACAAAAAATCCCATCTTATTAATAATTAATGCGGTACCCGCTGCTATATACAATAGATTCGAACCAGCCAACCGATCCCGTTAGCTCGATGGTGGAGTGGTAAGACATCTGCACTAGAAAGCAGGAGGTCGTGGGTTCGAACCCACCTGTTTTTTTTTTTTCCAACTTTCACTCGGGAGGAAACACACTGAGTATTCAGTGTTTATACGTCGGTGAAGGGCAAAACGTAATTTGATTTACATCACCCCGACGCAAAAATCCCATCTTATTTCTGTCAATTGTTTGTTCTGTTGTAGTAGTAGGCCTAGGCCTACTCATTACTGCTACTTCAGATAGTCAATTACAAAATAACACTTTCCAAGTAATTTTGTTCTCAATAATATTTCACATTTTATACAATCAGTTTCAAATTCGAACCCATTATAACATGAATATAATGCTTGTATTGGTCTTTTTCAACAATAAGAGTAACAATTATTAAATTCGCACACATTCTTAGAAATATAAAAAAAAATCAACAGTCATTAATAAAAAAAATATCAATGAACAAATGAACAATGAATTAATTAACATACTGTTGTACTGTTTACTTGAAAACTCATGTGGACAAAAAGCCATAAACAATGTCGACATGATAAAAAGTGGAAGATCTGGGGGAGAATTATTCATACCACTCCGATCTCTGAATCCTGTTTACAGGTACCAGAGCGTCAATTGCTTCTCAAAAATGGGGGTAAATACCTTGATCAGAACTAATGCAAGTGCGAAGCCCTTACGGCTTGAGGTGATGGGGTCCGGGGCTTGCTGAAGGGCCCCGGAAAGTTTTTGTATGGTGCGATCTGAGGTAATTTCTGACCACTTTAACCAATTTGTTTTTGAGCAAAAGTTCATCATTTATACATTATTTTCGAGTGTGGAGTCATTGAATCAGCTATTCTGAATGAAAGCTACAAAATGAAATATGGGCTGGGGTGGGCACATGTCCAACCTTCCGTCCACCACCGATTGAAGCCCATTAAAACTTACTATCAGTTTATTTTTTATTATTATGCTTTACTGTATTACACATTTTATTGATATGATGCTTAATTGGAACATTCTTGTTTTCTTTTGTTTTATTAGGTTGTTTAAGCTTGAGTGTTTTTGATTTATGACTTTCTTTGAACACTGTTGTTGGTTTTTAGTTTTGGGTTTTGTTGTTACTTTGTTCTAGATTATTTTCTTTTTGGCATTGCTACTTATATTTGGTTGTTGTTTTTAACT